CCAAATTCAGTACCTGCCGCAATATATATCAAAACACAAATATTAAAACAATTTGGAAATCATCGAAGTACATACATATCACTGAAGCAGAATTATAGACATAGTTAGACATAAATGGACACCGCCATCTTATAGAGCAGAAGAAATAGTGGGATAGAACATAGTTTATGCTGCAGCAGCCTTATAGTCACCGTTAAATTATGAAAATATAATGCGCACTCGCCTTTCAAATTCTAAGTCCATCAGCTTGTTTACCTTGTGAAGGAAAACACAACACAGACCCATAAATGCATTATTGTGTTGTCAAACTAGTCTGTGTATTACTTCGCGCTTGTCAAAATGATATTTGGCTAATTATCTGTGTCTGCTGTTACACATTTATGCCTTTAAAGTCTTTTATGAATGTTATTATACTTCATTTGCATATTTTAATATTTATCTATACCCTCATATAGAATTGTGCGCATTGAGTGTTTCACATTTTCTTGCTCCTGCTGCCAGATCACACACCACAGTGCACGCTTATTTCAATTTAAAACACCAGTGAGAAATGTTATGTTTCCAGTGTTGTGTTGATTCTGGATTATTTTTAAGACTTTTACAGTGGCATCAAAGAATAATCAGACTTAGTAACCATCCCAGTTTTATATCTGGGCCCTTCAAGAGCTCCAAATACTGGAAAAAGTGATTAAAATCGAAGCAATCCTGACGGTACAAAGAAGCAACGAAAGTTTTGACGTTTCCGGATACAAGGGTATTTGGTTTATTATTTTACTGTGTGAATGCAGCTCTATCCTGCCGTACATACTGCGGTGGAGAGAATGTGTCCTGGGGGGTGTTGGGGAGAAGAGCCCCCTATCAACTCTCCCCTCAGGCAGTGCCCGAAGAGTACGCCTAGTCACTTACTTAACCCACTAACGACGGGTGTCCCACATACAAGACACCCGAAAAAATAAACATTGCCGGGTGTCCAGCCAGTGAGACGCTGCATCAGGGCTCGCGTTACGGCACAGCAGCTGGCCGCAGCGGGCAGATGGGCAGAGTCCGGGGCAGCCCCCGCGCTGATTTTGTAGCCGCCCGGGATCTTTTATTTTCGGCTTCAAAATATATTGGAGTTAATGGGTTAACAATGTAACAACCTTACTGCCTCTTTACACTGATTGCCTCCATATTGGAACAATACACAATGCAGATTACTTGCTCACTTTGTGGTAAACTCTTGCCATGGCAGGTACAAGCAATTTCTGTGTACAGTGTGACATGGGGTAATTAGATTTTTTTTATTTAATTATTATTTTATTTATTTTAAATAACAATGAAATATATTTTGTTGATTTCATCATGACAGATTAATAGTGTTAAAATATATTTTTTAAGTAGGTACCATATGGAAAAATATGGATGCCAGGCCGACCTCTTGCTCATTCTTTGCCGGTCACATGGCCTCATTTTAGGGGAATACAAATGCCCTAAATGCGACAATATTTGTCGCACAGACAATAACACATTTATTCAGGTGCAGCACAACACAAACACAAACACACACACACACAAAAAAAAAAAAAATCTTACGAATCTGCACAGAGCGAATTGAACTTACCAAACAAGACTATTTGCAATTAGGCAAGCTTTAGCCAGGAGGTTCTCATTTTTTGGTGCTAAAAATCAATCTGACAAAATTGAAAATCAATCTGACAAAATAGGTGGGTTAGGGGAAATTGTCATGATTGATGAATCAAAATTGAAGGTCAGTGGGTTTTTTAAGAAGGATGCCACAAAAGTGGAAACAAATTCTCGTGCCCGTGGAGACACGTGACACTCTCTCTTTGCTTAACGTAATAAAGGAGCGGATCTACCCAGGGACAACGGTCATTAGTGATTGTTGGAATGCATATAACTGTCTAGAGAAAGAGGGCTATCAACATCTAACTGTGAATCATTCATACAATTTTGTTGACCCCAAAAGTAAGGCGCACACCATTACAATCGAACGTAAATGGAGGGAGGCCAAATCAAAAGTACCCCGCTTCGGGAGGAGAAAGTATCACTTTGCCGGGGACTTGGCCAAGGCCATTTTCCAAATGATGTACCCGGTGAAGAAGAAAAGATTGCATCAGTTTCTCCTTGCTGCAGCCTGTCTGTACCCTGCAGACTGACGGTATGTGTTTTGTATTTAGAAATAATGTATAATCCTTTGACTTCGTGGTAAAAAGCGAGGAGGGGGGGGGGGGGGGACATTTTTATATGTTATGTTTTTGTTATTTTGGTTCACAAGATAAGCACACATTGTGCGTTGACTATAAATATTTTCTTTTGTTAATTTTGTACGCATTACATGTTGCGCTTGTTTACTTTCGCGGTATTTCTTTCATTGTCTGTCGGACAAAGTTTGGCTCGTCTTTCTGATTATACGTCCTTTATACTGTTATCGTGAAAAGAAGTTTGGCTCGTCTTTCAGAGAATTACACTTTTTAGTCTCTCCCAGATTTCATCAATTTTCAACATTGTTTTTTCTGCGAATGAATTGTTCAGGAGATCGAGTACTTTCCATCAACGTTCATGATTTGATAGTCCCGTTGAAAGGGGAGGGCATGAAGTATATCAGGGAAATTATGGGGTAAAACAAGCTTAAATAAGAATTACGATAAAAAATGCGTAAAACTAGCACAAAAAACACTTAAAATCAGCCAATGAAACTCTACGGATGTAAACGCCATCTTTGAAATTTTACGGGCTGACGCGCCAGAAATCAAAAACTCTACAGGAACCCAACCCAACTTTCGGTAAAATTCTATGGGAATTCACACATTCCAACCCCCAAAAATGTACTGACCAAAAAAACAACCTAATATATCAATATAAATTGCTGTGACTAGGCGTGCTCTTCGGGCACTGCCCAAGGGGAGGGTTGATTGGGGGCAAGTCCCCCAACACCCCCCAGGACACATTCTCTCCACCATGGTATGTACAGCAAGACAGAGCTGCATTCACACCGCAAAATAATAAACCAAATACCTTTATATCCGGAAACGTGAAACTTTTGTTTCTTTGTACTGTTGGGATTGCTTCGATTTTAATCACCTTTTTCATCATTTGGAGCTCTTGAAAGGCTCAGATATAAAACTGGGATGGTTATTAAAGTTGAATTATTCTTCGATGCCACTGTAAAAGTCTTAAAAAGAACCCAGATTCAACACAACACTGGAAACGCAACATTTCTCACCGGCTTTCAATCTCGAAATGAGCAGTATGGTGAGCTGTCAACCTGTGGCTGGCACAAGAAAGTGTGAAACACTCGATGCACAGGATTCTATACGAAGGTATAGATAAATATAAAAATATGCAATTGAAGTATAACATTACTAAAAGACTTTAAAGGCATAAATGCGTACCTGCAGAAACAAATAATTAGCCAAATATCGTTTTGACAAGCGCGTAATGATAAACGGACTAGTTCACTAACACAAAAATGCGTTCGTGGGTCGGTGTTGTATTTTTCTTCGACTTTGAATTTGAAAGGTGGCCGTGCGTTATATTTTCGTCCTTTAGCGGTGACTATAAGGCCGGCACATCTTAAACTATATGCTATCCTCTTCTATTTTTCCCACTCTATAAGATGGCAGTGTCCATTTCCCTCTATCTATGCGCGTCCATGTCTGTAACCTCTACCAAATGGCATTTATTATATTTCGAAAATTACAGGTTGCTATTGACATTGTACAATCCCCCCTCCCCCCAAATGGAGCTACATGAGCTCAATTTTATCTCCCTTCCCCCCCCCATTGGAAATTCTGCGGGGGTGCAAATTACCGAATAAAACTATTTGAAGCATTAGAAAAAAAAAATTACTAATCCAAATAGGTGTCTCATAATAACAGGTGCAGACCATTCACCAGCTAAGAAGTATTAAGAAATACGAAGATCTTCCTACAAAGATCAAAATTAACAGATATCATATGAAATCTTCAATAAACAAAAGCAGAAGGAGAAACAAAGATCCAGGCAATATAGACTTCAAAAAGTCTGAAACCCTATAAAAGAAAAGGAAGAAGATATTATGGGACTATATTAATCAAAGAGAAAAGCACCAAACACTAATACATGAAGAAATCTGCAGCCCCTCTTTTACATAGGTATGTTTTAGAATTATTTTCACTGAAGTGACTAGATGTACAGTGCTTCTCATTCATACGAACGGCATGTGGAAGCACCCGATGCCGACTCTGCCGCCCCCCCAACAGGGGGGTTGCAGGAGATACAGCCACCTGTAGTGTGTAATTTTAGTACCTATGACCGACATGCAGGACCACCCAACACCGAGTCTGTCTGATGCTCGCTCCTACTGAGGTTGCATTAAATAATATAGTGACTTAATTGGTACCATGATTACAGCAGAGAACGAGAATTCCATTGTGCACATGCATGATTTCAAAAGTGGCACACCTCTGGTATGGAAAAGACAATCTAGTCATTTCTGATGGAAACAAACACCAGAATCGACCGAACCAAAACAACCGATATTGAACGAATCTAGTTTCGTCCCGAGAAGCGCTGGTGATGTCTTTTTCCAAATTTACCCTGTAACCTTGATATTGCCCAGAGTTGCTCCACTGACTCAGAACAGTAATTCTGCCCAGTATCCAGTCCATGCAAGTGTTAAAGTGTTGGCACAATGTCCAAGATTGTCGCATAATTTCGATAAATTTGGATAGCAGAGAGTATAGATAGAGTAATCCATCGATATCAAAATCGTATCGGTCGATTCTGCGAATATATTGTGAAAAATTACCATATAGTTTCAGAGGCATCCAAACAACCAAAATATCTTCCCTGGACAGACGCCTCTGGGACTCCCTTCTCTGGTAATATAAACTCTTCCAGTTTTCACTCTTATTTTCATCGTCACCCTCTATATCCCTTCCCCCTTGACTAGTTTTACCACCGCAAAGTTACGCAATGTCATGCAAACCCGAAATAACACAACAGTAGAAATGCCTTACGTGTGCAGATCCGAGCGTGGGTTCACGTGTTGGACCAGCGCGGCGGCAGACAACAGACACACGGAAACAACATGCGATTTTCACATGGATAGGATTCCGGGCTTTTTTTCCCGATTGAAGTTTATTTTGTGTGTAGTTGGTATATCGTTAGTCAGTATTGTTCACCCATTATATGTAATGGTTATTATCTTATTTTTGTTTTGTTTTTTATTGTTGTATTGCTCTATTTTAATGCGAATACAAATGCATACGAATCACTTGGGGAAGGTGCGTTTGGGGAATCGGGGTTGGTGATTTGCATTGTTGTATTTCATTTAATTAGCATTGCCAATAATTAATTTACCAAATAGGTATTCTCATAAATCTGTTCCCTTTCAACATTCATCAACCTGTCAAAATACTTTCATACCCGTTACAAAAATGATATGCCATCAGTGCGTGTGTTGGGCTCTCTTGTTGAATTTATTGCTATTTAGTATATATTTTTTCGAGTGTTGCCTATTGCATTATACTCTAATATATAAGTTTTTGTTGGCAGTAGTGTTGTTTTTTCTCGTAAAATATTTGTCACGATTCCTGTCACATCGATCTATATATTTTCTATTTATCCTTTTATTACAACACTTAGGAGGGGATATACAATAACATTGAAAAGGTGCATTTAGACATACCAAACGATGCATAGGTGGAGACTGGAGTAGGGGGGGGGGGAACGTCACACGTGTGAATATTCACTCACACGGCTTTGTCGTATTAGCAATAAATAGATAAATATATCCCTATGATTATAAAAATATTTTCTTGGATATAATTGATAAAAATACAATTATCATTTGTTCATAACAATGTTAGTAAAATACTTCTTCCGAGGATGTCCTTCACTTTCACAGAGATACTTCTTTCAAATACCAAATATGTTCTAAAAAAAAAAAAAAATCTTACGATCACTTAGAAATTAATGATTCTCTAAAGTAATTAAACATTAAAAACACTCACCTGAAATGGACGAAAAATAATTGTAATTTTTAAAAAGATGTAAGTCCCAAATAGTTGTTTACAAACCACAGTAGTTGTGTCAGGAGTAAAGGTAGTAACTGCGGTAATTCTCGTATATATTGTTATTGAATGGGATACACCTTAACCTCTCAGTATATGCCAAAGACATAAAAGTAGACGTGTGTTCAATAAGTTACTGGTATTTGTACTATTGTAAGCTGTGGTAACTAATGTAGTGATTTATTCTGCTGATGCGTTTTGAGTCCATTTTCGCTTTCTTTACAATACTCGATGTCTAAAGAAACACCATTTTTTTCAGGTATATTTAATTCGATATTTTTTCTGTACAATAACCCATGTTGAGATGAGTTGATATTGACGTTCAATGAAAAAGACCGGCATTGCATCCAACGGTAACCATGTACTCTGGAAAAACACAACAAACATCTACCACATATTCCGCCTGGATATATGTGGTTGAAATTAGTTTAACCATTGCATTACTGTCCCAGACTGATAACTTGGCTTTGCAGTTCATCCCTCTATGCGTGCACCCTCTATATCATGCACACATTTTTCCTACATATTGCACAGGGGTCGGCATGTGCTGTGTGAACAAGCAGCACAAGTTCAGAGAAAATATGAATCAAAAGACAAAAGTGTTAGAACTATTTTTTACCTTACTGACTAGTAATTAGTAGGTATGATGCTGGAAAATTTTAGGTAAGTGGTAAAAGTGTGTCATTTTGCCATTATACCAATTGCACAATTTTTATTCCAGACAGTTTCTAATGAGTATCCTCATTTGCACTTACTGTTCTCAAATAAAATCTTCCACATGCACTTTGTAAATTTAACACACAGATTACTGTAAAAGTCATGAAAGCAAAAATAAGGTAAAAAACAAATACTAAAGTCTCAATGAATGTATTTGAGGTGACTATATTTACAGTAGCTGTTAAAAATCATTACAAAAGCTGTCTCTAAAGCATTATCTATGTAGGCTTGGCTTTGAGATTATTTCTAGCATATATATTTCATAGTCAAGGGGGATTTTATTTCCCTACCTTTTGCCACAGATGCATTGGCATCTCTCCTGATTCTTGCTCAGAATTGTTAGGTTTTGCCTCACATGTATTAGCCTTACTTTCAAGTGATTCATTTTAGTTGTCAATGTATTTTAAACATTTTTTATTAAGCATGTCCCAGTAATTTATAAAGTTCTAGCTGCAGATATAAAAAGTGCAAGAATTTAGCTACAATCCCTATTCTTCATAGGGATTGAAGGACCATAGCTTCAAATACTAAAACTTCAAAGTCAGCACATTACATTTCCTTGTGAAGTTATCTTGTAGGTGTATTTGGCAATGTAAATTAGATATATTATACATAATCTGAATATATAATGTCAGTTGCCCTAGTTTTAACATTGGTTCTTTTATTCCTTTGGTCATATTTTGCTTCTATACTGTCGCATTTTATGGGAGTATCTGTTAAAAAATAGAAAAAAAGCAATTTAAAGTTAGCATGATGATTCAGCCCCTGCATACCATAGTAAATTATTGTTCATCTATGACTGTGGTTCTTAAAGCATTTCTTCAAGTACTTATTATAACAGGGTATCCCTTGTGGCTGTATATATTTTCTAATTAAATTGTTGCATTTTTGTCAATATCTTTGAAAAAGTAAATATTTGAGCAGCTTGAATAAGAACAGCTACCATTGCCCTTGTTGGCAGTTAACTTCCAACAGAAAGCAAGTCTCTTTCTTTCTTTCTTTCTTTCTTTCTTTCTTTCTCTTTCTCTTTTCACCCTTTCCTCTCTCTTTGTCTCTGTCTCACCCACTCTCTATCTCTCTCTGTATCTCGCCCTTTCTAACCCTTTCTGTCTCTCTCCTTCTCTAACCATCTCTGTCTCTCAAACTCCCTCCAGAAAGCAACTCTCTCTCTCTCTCTCCTCTCTCTCTCTCTCTCTCTCTCTCTCTCTCTCTCTCTCTCTCTCTCTCTCTCTCTCTCTCTCTCTCTCTGTCTCCACCCTCTTCTCTCCTTCTCAGTCTCTCCACCCTCTCTCTCCTTCTCAGTCTCCCACCCTCTCTCTCTCAGTCTCTCTCTCTTCTTCTCTCTCTCCCTCTCTCTCCCTCTCTGTCCTCACCCTCTCTCTCTCCACCCTCTCTCACACTCTCTTATCTCCCACCCTCTCTCACACTCTTGTCTCCCACCCTCTCTGTCTCTTGCCTTCTCTCACACTCTCTCTCTCTCCCACCCTCTCTGTCTCTTGCCTTCTCTCACCCTCTTTTATTCTCATCCTCTCTGTCTCCAGCCCTCTCTCACTATAGGGTGCAATACCATGCGGTTCCCACGTGTGTCCTATCTATACCACGTGGTGCGTGCCCACGCCACACTGCCTGCCCTCGGCCCAAGCCACGCTCTTCTAAATATAGAGGCCACACCGCCAGTCTGAATAAAAGGGAGGTCAGACCTTGACCTTTCTCACTCTCAAGTCTCACACTCACACCTTCAGTGACCTTTCCTGTGACCGCTCCTGACCTGAGCTGACCACTCTTCCCGGCCGCTGCCTCTCCGAGGCCTGGCCTGGTCTACCCTCAGCACTGAGCCGGCATATCGTAGTCTCTCATATCGTCTGTTCTCTCAATAAGACTGAAGCTAATCAGTATATCACAAGCCAGGCACCTGTAATTCAACTACACTATTAAGAAGGGTTGTTAATACCTCTAGACTATAAGAGGTATCTCACTCTCTCTCTCTCTCTCTCTCTCTCTCTTCTCTCTCTCTCTCTCTCTCTCTCTCTCTCTCTCTCTCTCTCTCTCTCTCTCTTCTCTCTCTCTCTCTCTCTCTCTCTCTCTCTCTCTCTCTCTCTCTCTCTCTCTCTCTCTCTCTCTTCTCTCTCTCTCTCTCTCTCTCTCTCTCTCTCTCTCTCTCTCTCTCTCTCTCTCTCTCTCTCTCTCTCTCTCTCTCTCTCTCCTCTCTCTCTCTCTCTCTCTCTCTCTCTCTCTCCTCTCTCTCTCTCCTCTCTCTCTCTCTCTCTCTCTCTCTCTCTCTCTCTTTCTCATGTGGAGATGTAAACAAAGACTCAGAGTGTACTCTCCCATTTTCTCCTTTATTTAGACCTGCCAGACACCTGCTGCTGTTAAAAGCACAATAAAGGTCTGCTTTGTTCCTGAAGAAAATTTGCTTAATAGTAGTTGGGGGGGGGGGGGGGTGATAAGAATCTGTTGCCCGTCTTTGCGCATTGTTGACACCATATGCTTCTCCTGTGCTTCCCTCACTGGCCTAGATGCTGATCCAGCACTGAACGAATAGGAGATGTGTCAGGGAGATTAGCCATCATTACCACCTCAGGCTGGGGAGACAGATATGAGGCTGATCATCATGCCCAGACCCCACACTTCTAGTAGGTCCACAATGGACTCCACATCAGACACTGACAGTGAATCCTTGTCTCCTGCTGCCCAAAAAACCAGACGCAAGAGTTCTTCACTTCCTTGTGATACTTGCGATGTAGCCTCTGACCTTCATCCCATGCCTCTGCCGTGTCATAACATATCGCATAGGCCTACCACTATGTGTGATTAGCCTTTCCCAACATTAAGATTGTGAGCAGAGTATATCAGACTTGTATTCAGAGGTAACCCTGGTGTAGCATTCAAGTGTTGATCAGAATCTTGCTGAGGTCAAAATGTTAGCAGGGACATCACGTTTTGTATATATATGTAGAACCCATCAAGATATTGTATACACTATGACACAAGGAGAATGTTTGGTTCTGCAAGATTCCTTTGAGAGGCCTCTCTTCCATCTTTCTCCTCACCCGGTATCCTGTGAATGTTGATCCCTCCAAGACTAAAAAACTACCTGGGGCCGGATTTTACTAAACTCTTTCGTAAACGCTGTCTCTCGTAACAGTTACGAGAACTATCAACGATTTCTCAACTAGCGATGTTATTACCCATTTTCAAACGGCAAACAACGAGAGCGCAGGGGTCTCGTAACTGTAACGACCAAATTTTATATCGCTAGGTGTCGTAGGGCTTGATTTCCTAAAAGTACAGCTTGATCGACCAATCAGTGTTAGCTTGGGTAAAATCGACCAATCACAGAAAACGTTATACTGCTGAACTGATGCACACACTAAGAGTTTTACTTAAAATAGTTTCTATATCACCACCTGGTTAATCAGTCACCTTCTTTATCTGATCATTACCACCTTTATAAATAGTTTATGAACAATTCTCCGCGACCACCACCCAGGATTCGACCCAATAATATATTCCATTATACCTACAACAAATCAAATACTCATACATAATTCATGAATATAATACTTAATACTAATTATACTTATTTCATATACTAGATATCATAACAATAACGATATTATATATATAGCTAAGGGCATAATACTCAGGCTTTCTCTCTCTCTCTCTCTCTCTCTTCTCTTCTCTCTCCCTCTCTCCTCTCTTCTCTCCTCTCGGCCTCTCTCTCCCTCTCTCTCTCTCTCGAGAGCAGCAGACTGAGAGGCAGAGCAAAAGAGAGACTGAAGAAGAACAAGACTGAGAGAAGAGAGAGAACGAACCACCAAAGTGACCACGAGAGAGACATGGAGAGAAGAAGAGAGACCGAGAAAAGATTGAGTATAAGCCTATTAGCTATTATATTATATGATACATAATACCCACTCTTTATTACTAACTATATCATTAAATAATATATATACTATTATATTATATATATATATATATATTACATATATATTATATATATCATACATATATATCTAACACACAACACACACACACACAACATATTATTATATATAGTATATATAATATATATAATAATAGTATACTACTCATATATTATATATATTGAACTAGATATATACATGCAACTTTCATATCTTTTGGCATATAATTACCTATAGAATATTAATATATATATATACTTATATATATATATTACTATTATATATATATATATATATATACTATATATGATAACTATATATATTACTATATATGATGGTAATATATGTTTTGTGTGTTGTGTGTGGTGTGTGTGATGTGTGTGTGTGT